TGGATGGAGTCTTGCTCTGTCACCCAGACTGGAGTGCAGTGGCACGATCTTGGCTCACTGCAACATCTCCCTCCTAGGTTCAGGCAATTCTCCTTCCTCGACCTCTTGAGTAGCCTGTGGTAGACTACAGGCATGCACCACCATGTCGGGCTCATTTTTGCATTTTTAGTACAGATGAGGTTTCACCATGTTGGCCAGGCTAGTCTCAAACTCCTGACCTCAGGTGATCCACCCGCCTTGGCCTCCCAAAGTGCTGGAATTACAGGTGTGAGCCGCTGCACCTGGCCCAAGTTTTTCTTTATATAAAGTCATGTCATTAGCAAAGAGTGACAGTTTTACATCTGTCTTTCCTGTTTGGATGCCTTTTGTTTCTCTTTATTGCCTAATTGTTCTGGCTAGGATTTCAAGTACTTTGCTGAAAAGAGTGGTGAGAGTGAGAATCCTTGTCTTGTTCCTGATCTTTCTTAGAGGAAAAGCTTTCAACTTTTCGCCTTTGAGTATGATGTTAGCGAGAAAAGAGAAAGTGCTGGTATATGCGTCCAAATTCATCGAGCTGTATATATCAAACACATGCAGCACTTGTATATTAATTATACTTCAGTAAAGCTGATACCCAGAATCTACAAGAAATCCAAACTATAATCAATGTAATAAACATATCCATCATTTCCCAGAGTATCCTGTGTCCTTTTCTTGTTTTGTTTTGGTATTAGGAGCACTTTAACATGATGTATTAGTTTATTCTCACACTGCTAATAAAGACATACCTGAGACTGGGTAATTTATAAAGGAAAGAGGTTTAATGGACTCTTAGTTCCACATGGCTGGGAAGGCCTCACAACCATGGCGGAAAGCAAATAAAAAGCAAAGTCACGTCTTACATGGCAGCAAACAAGAGAGTTTGTGCAGGGGAACTCTCATTTATAAAACCATCAGATCTCATGAGATGTTTTCACTACCATGAGAACAGTATTGGGGAAACCGCCTCATGATTCAGTTATCTCCACTTGGCCCCGCCCTTGATGAAACATGGGAATTATTACAATTCAAGGTGAGATTCGGGTGGGGACACAGCCAAACCATATCAAGGACCAAGGCTGTGGTCCCATGTAAGAGTCTGGTATACGTATTTTGAGGCCTTTTCCAACAAGAATTCTATCATGCACCTCATGTGTGGCTTCAGGAGGTCAAATGCTGGACTTGGTAGCTCAGCTTTTGCACAGGTTTGCACATGCCTTTTTAGTACTTCTCTCCAGACGGGAAATGAAACTTTAGAAATTCCATCTACCTTAGGAAGTTTACTTGAGACATAAATAATATTTTAAAGCTCATTGGAAAGTGCCTGCCACAGAGCAGATGTTTGATGGAGAGCAACTTGTGACTGTATGGAATTTACTAAGATCATTGTGACACTAGAAAGGTTTCTTGGGACAGGAAGTGAGTCTACCATTGTTCTGCTTCTGGGAGACAGTAAGTTGTGCTCTGGAAGGAAGACCTCCTCCAGGATCCCACACAGGGAAAAGAGTGCTTGAGAGTTTACCAGTTTATGCTTATTATTACACTGGCTTCAAATAGTCACATTAGTAATTTTTAGAATCTTTTAAAGCTGTCCTACTATCTTCTACTCTTAAGAATATCTATAAAGCTGATGTTTTGTGGTGCGTCAGATTATTTCTTCAAATCTTCTAAGACCTTCTCCAACACTGCACAGAACTCTTATCTTCCTTGTTGCCAGTTTATAGTATATAACTCATAAACATTTAATGTCAACAGAAGGGAGAAAGTCTTATGTGTCTTTCTCCACCAGATATATTCTATATATCAGATATATTTTCATGTATTTATTAACTCTCCTGTTGTCTTAGGAGGATAAGACAATCCTCCGTAGCTGCTCATTAAACATATACTTATACTCATTAGACATATACTTTCATTCTCCCTTTCTTTTCTAAGATCATATGGCTACTGAGAGATGAGGTGGAAGGCGTCATCCTTCAAGCCTTGAGCCGGGTTTAGAAGTTTCCGTTTCCTTGGCCAATAGAATAGGCTGATATTGACAGTGTGCTTGAGGGACTTGGTGTATTTCTGCTGCTGTTTCTTGGAACCCTGCTTGCCGGTGGAGGAGAGGATATGTGGAAGGGAAGGCGGTTGTCCCGGACAAGCCCAGGCTACATCATCCAAAAGCAAACTGAGTCCCCAGAATGTAAGAAAACCAAGCCAAGATTAGCAAGCCCTTCCCGGCGGACCCACAACTGATTATACACTCATAAGGAGACCAGAAGAGCTCAGAAAAACTTCCCACCATACAATCACATTTATTAATAAAAACACCATATTAAACCATTTGCTTCTAGGATGACTTGTTATACAGCAACTGCTAACTGATACAATAACCAAAGTGAAGAGAACTGAGGGAAAATAAAATGACTTGTTGTTTGGTATTTTTAGCCTTTGTTGTGATATTTGAAGACTGCAATCATGATTACTGTGTCATTCAAATTTATTTTAGAAAATTGTCTTTAAAAGTGACTATGTTGGCCGGGCGTGGTGGCTCAAGCCTGTAATCCCAGCACTTTGGGAGGCCAAGACGGGCGAATCACGAGGTCAGGAGATCGAGACCATCCTGGCTAACATGGTAAAACCCCGTCTCTACTAAAAAATACAAAAAAACTAGCCGGGCGAGGTGGCGGACGCCTGTAGTCCCAGCTACTCGGGAGGCTGAGG